ACCCTTCCATCTCTTAAGAAACAAAGTCCTAAACCCCGAAGCCCCTAAACCCTAAACTCCTAAACCCTAAACCCCTAAACCCCTAAGCCCCTAAACCCCTAAACCCTAAACCCCTAAACCCCTAAACCCCGAAACCGCTAAACCCCTAAACCCCTAAACCCCTAAACCCCTAAACCCCCAAACCCCTAAACCCTGAAGTGGACTCTAGGCCGTCGCCGTACTTTATGAGCACCTCAAGGGCAATCAGCTGACGATCGCGGTGCATCTTGCCTCCTCAGGCACGGTTTGGGGCGAGCTAGGAACTAGGCATTGCAAAAACTAAACCTAAAGCCCTAAACCCTCAACCTAAAGCCCTAACCCTACACCCTGAACCCAAAGAGCAGGTCTAGGCGCGGGAGGCCTTTTCGTGAATGCTGCGATGCACTACTCTCAGATGGAATTCGGCTGGCGTGCGACCCAGAAGCTGGGTCCTGTGATCTTTAATCAGGTTTAGGGTTTAGGATTCAGGGGTTAGGGTTTAAGATTTAGGGTATAGGGTTTAGGATTTAGGGGTTAGGGTTTAAGATTTATCGTATAGGGTCTAGGATTTAGGGGTTAGGGTTCAGGGTTTAGTGTTTAGGGTTAAGTGCCCTACTGGCTTACTGTTGGACTCTGAAACTTTGTCATGATTGAACTCCTATAGTTCAGTATTTCCTAAGTTTGTTCACCCTGCCCTAAGCCCCATACCCTGGACCCTTTTGCGGGTACTGCTAAAAGGATCATGGGACTTAGTAAGTGGGGTTATAATCAAGGTACCTATACTTATATTTGCTTATAACCCCAATGAAGGGACTTATAACCTTAGTTACTTAGTCCCATGATCCTCCAAGTGGGGGCCTGAGGAAGCTCAGCGCCGGGGCCTGCGCTTTCGTGCTGGCCTTCGCACTCTTGGGGCTCTGGTGGGCCACGCGCGGGGGCGCCCGAAGCGCCAGCCGCGTGGCTGGAAGTGGGGCACCTTTGAAGAGGTCGTTGTCCTCGGCTCTCAAGGAGCACGGCCAGGCGGGGACCGTGGTAGAGCGGAAGCATGACCGGGGCTGCAGCTCAACGTCATGGCATTTGGGTTCAGGGTTCCCTCTCTGGCCCTGTTCAGCCCAAGATGAGGACCTCGTACATCCATTCTCCGAGCTCAACTTTGTGCTGCTCTGTGCCGCGTACTTTTTCTTTTTCTGTGGCTTCACTGTGCCCTACACTCATCTGGTTTTCTATGCTCGGGATGTCCAAGGCTACCAGGACGCACCCACGATGATGGCCAGAATGGGAGCAGCGAGCCATGTTCGCACGATGCATGCCCATCAACACATGTAACATATCCGAAACCCTAAAGCCTAAACCCTCAAACTCCAAACAGACCCCCGAAACGCTTGAACTACCGACCTCGGTTAGCTGTCCCTCAACCCTAAACACCAGACCCGAAACCCTCAACCCTGTAAAAGTAACTCTAAACCCGCAGCCCTCAACCACATTCACCAAAACCCGGCTTTTCGCTGCCGGCTGTCTAGGTGTTCGGAATTATTGCGGTGATTGATCGCAGTGTTTCCTGATACCTCTTTCACTGCGATTGTTATATGGGTAGTTCTCTAAATTAGGGTCCCTTTTTAGGTCCCCAACATGGTACGGCACCCTTATAAAAAGGACCCCAAAAGGGACCCTAATTTAGAAAACTACCCATATACGTTTTGGTTATCATAAATCATAGACCCTGGATAAGGAGTATTTCGGCTCAATCTAGGGTTGCTTTACATGTGTCAGGGCATGCAAACAAGCCGAAGGGTACTGGGTCCAGGGCCATGGATTTCGAAGGATACCACCTGGATTCCTAGCCCTGAACCCTAAACCCTATCCAAGTGTGAAGCCAGATTCCTCAATCCGAAGCCTTAAATCTCAAAGCCCACGCCTTTGGTCAAGAAGCCAAGGCTCCCAACCGTTTAGGGTTTAGGGTTTAGGGCCCAAACCCTACATGTAGAGCCTAAGCCCGATACCCACTGCCTAAACCCAGAGGAGTATGCTGGGATCAGTTGCCTGCGGTTTCCTCCCCAGCTTCTGCCGCGCTTCGGCGGTGCTCATGCTCGTTATTGCCGGCCTCAGTGTGGCCATCATCTGCCCTTGGAGTCGTATAAATATGGGAGTTTCCGAAAACTAGGGGTACCTTATTTTGGGGTCCTTATATTAAGGGTCCTATTATTTAGGGTACTATATTAGGGTCCCTTATTTTCAGAAGCCCCCATATTATTTTTTGGGCTCAGACAAATCACATAAGCAGCTTCAGGGTTTGCTTTCGTAAGCCAAGCCGAGAAGAAGGGTTTCGTTGTTTTTCCTTAGGGGTACTTAGAAATAATTCTTAATCTTTGGCTACTATAAACCCTAAGAAGCAGGTAAAATTATAATAATTTTAGCTTCAGTATAGTTTCTGCTTTTGAAGTGAGCTAAGTAAGGTCTTCCTTACTGCCATGATGCCATGGAGCTGGAGGCCTTTGCCCGGCTCTTTGGGACCTTTGCAGGTATACGTCTCGGGGTGCAGAGCCTTGTTGTGGCCGAGTTTTTTGGCGGGGAGAGGCTGCCTCACCTCTACGGCCTCGCTAACCTTCCCATGAGTTTGGGCTCCTTGGTGGGGCCAGCGGTCGTGGGAGCCATCTACGATGCAACGGGCAGCTATACCCTAGCTTTCTGGGGTGCCGGGGTGCAGATGCTGGTGGCCATCCCATTGCTGATCTTGGTAAGATGCCGATCTGGTTCTGCCAGGGTGGCGGTTGCTGTCAAGTAGCACTACAGCCTGAAGATCTTGACAAGGGCTTCTGGGCACCACTCTTGAAACTGCTTGCATAGATTTGCATGGCATTCTAAACACCTAATTAAGCCCATAACCTCCTGCCTATCACAGTTCTTAAGATCAATCCGGGTCGACCAAAGTGTGTCTGTCTCTGGAAGCATGCTGGTGGCTGCCAAAGACTCTCGCAGGTGGTCCTGAGGTTTGTGGAGTTTGGGTTTAAGGTCTTAGGATGTGGCATTGAAGTTTCGGATTGAGGCTTTACAAGGCGTTGAGGGCATTGACTGGTCAACAATGTGGATGATGATGAAGATGATGATGGTGATAATGATGATGTTGATGACGATGATCATGGTGATGACAATGATGATGATGATGATGATGATGGTGATGATGATGAGGGTTGTGATGATGTAGATGATGATGATGATGATGACGATGATGATGGTGATGGCGACGATGATGATGATGATGATGGTTATGGTGATGGTATCACTAGCCCACACCCTGAGTTCTGAAATCCAGAGCCTTGTGAACACAAACTGTGAAGCCCTGAAGCCAGCAACCGGAGCATTCCTGAAGCCCACAACCCTAAGAACCTTGGTTCTCCGTGCCTCAATGCCGATGGCCTAAACCGAAGAGCAGAACGTCTATCCCTCAAGCTTAAGGGCGCACACAAGTTTGAAAGTTCTACTCCCTGAGCCTTGAATCCTCAACCCGACACCCCTAAACCCTAAACCCTAAAACCCTAAACCCGAAGCCCCAAACCCCAAACCCTAAACCCTAAACCCTAAAACCCTAAACCCGACACTCCTTGTTAAGGCTGTGAAGCTTCAACACTCGCAGAAGGAGCCTTCACTAAATCTGAAGCCCTGAGTTGAAAGCAGGTGCCAATAAAGAAGAGATTGCGGCGGTTTCGGGTTAAGGGTTTAGGGCTTTAGGCTTTAGGGTTTAGGGGGGTTTAGGCTTTAGGGTTTAGGGCCTTAGGGTTCAGGGCTTTAGGGTTTAGGCTTTAGGGCTTTAGGCTTTAGGCTTTAGGGTTTAGGGTTTAGGCCTCTGAGGCCTATACCCCGGAAAAGACGCCCTAAGCCGCAGGCTGTGCAAGTTCGATGGCGAAGGGACCCGGCTCATGAGGCCTGGCAGAGGTTTCGGAAGGCTTTGGGATTTAAGGCCTAGGTTTCGGGTTTAGGGTTTAGGGCTCCTGCGCCGGAAGCTTCCATAGATGTCTTGTATAGAGCACTTTTAGAACCTTTGTCGAGCCTGTATGGAGCTCTACCTAGCTTGCAAAACCAGGGTTGCCTGGGACTTGTACTATAGAGCCTTGGGTTCCTTATTATAATTAGAACTAGAGTGATCCCCCAAACCCTATTCTGTTTATGAAATGCCATACTGTATGTTTGCTGTCCTCGAGCTTGAGGGGTGGGCTGAATTTAATCTAGGACATTTTCAGGTGGGTAGTTACCGTTATAGGAGCCTTATGGAAGGTCTATATCCCTTATGGAAGCCTTATACAACGAAGGAAGGGCCCGGAATATGGAAGCCCAGGGAATATGATACATCCCAAGACCCTATTCTAACTATGAAGGCCCCTAAACCCTAAACCCTAAACCCCTAAACCCCTAAACCCCAAAACCCTAAACCCTAAACCCTAAACCCCAGCTCTTAAGGCCCCGACATGAGAGAAGCCTCTAAGGGCTCCTTTCAGGGTTTAAGGGCTCCTTTAAGGCTTCCGTTTGGGGTTCCTTTCAGGGTTCCTTTCAGGGTTCCTTTCAGGGTTCCTTTCAGGGTTCTATGAAACCCGCATGGACGCCGGCCCTGAGGGTTCAGACTTTAGGGTTTAGTAGGGTTTAGTCGGGTTTAGGGTAGGGCTGCTGATCTTAATCGAGGCTTTGCAAGGCTTCATGCTGCGCACTTTGGGGGGGGGGGTCTGGTTCAGGGTTTAGGGTTGAAGATTTTCGGGTTTAGGGTTTAAGGGTTTTTGGTTCAGGGTTTAGGGTTTAAGGCTTAGAGTTTTGGGTTTAGATTTCAGCGATTTGTGCGCGGCGAAAGAGAGGGTGTCACGAAACATGTATCAGGAGTCTGATGTTGAGGCCCATGCAAGGCTGAATTCTGAGCCCAACACCTCCTCAAGGGCGGAGGCCGCAATCGCACACACAGAGACACAAGCGGCCATCCTGTGAATCTGAATGTGCTTAACCAACATGTGCATCAATGTATCAGCAAGCAGGTCTTGTCTGTCTCTGTCTCTGTCTTTGTCTCTGTCTCTATCTCCGTCTCTGTCTCTGTCTCTGTCTCTGTCTCTGTCTGCCTCTCTGTCTGTCAGTCTGTTTGTCTGATTGTCTCCATATCTTTGTGCATGTATGTCTGTATATATATATATATGTATATATACAGATGTGTTCCTGCAGTCTGGGGTGTAGTGTAAGGGCCTGTATCATTAGAATAGGGTTTGGCGTACATTATAGTATTTTTATACTAAGGAACCCCCCCAAAAAAAACCTATGCTACTTATAAACCCTAAACCCTAAACCCTAAACCCTAAACCCTAAACCCTAAACTACTTATTGAGGCCCCTGCAGTAGCTCGGTCCGGTGCCCCGCTTGCCAGCGCGAGCACCAGGTCGCGGGAGTTCCACCAGATCGCCGGGCGAGCTGGGAGGCGCCCTCGTGAGTTTTCAAAGGTCCAGGGTTTAGGGTTTTAGGGTTTAGGGTTTAGGGTTTAGGGTTTAGGGGCTTGAATAATTGCTAATACTGATTTGGGGGTTCTTGATTATGATTAGAGTATATACTATGCCCGCAAAACCCTATTCTAAGTATTAAGGCCCCTCTACTAGGGCGGTTTAGGGTTGAGGGCCTAAGACTTCGGGCTTAGAGTTTAAGTTGTCGGTTTTAAGGTTCAGCCCTGAGGCTTCAAGATTTAGAGCAGGGTTTCGTGTTTATGGTTTAGGGTTTAGGGTTTAGGGTTCTAAAGGGATCCGCAAAAGAAGACACTGCTACAACGTTTCGGGGTTCGGGGTCTCGGGAGAGCTATGCAAACATCAATCTGTAGAAGGCGTGACCGAACACAAGTTCATAAACCAAACCATCAACCCAGAGCGGGTCATCCAAAAAAGGCGAGGGATCTGAACCATTGCTAACATCACTATGTCACTATGTGATGCAGCATAGTACAATGTATCCCAACACCTTCTTCTCAGTGCCTCGGGGGCTAACCCTATCCCCGACCCTGATCCTGGCACTGGTCGTGGCTGTTGCAGTGCAGCTGATGTAGGGGCCTAAATAATTACCTATACTATTTTGGGGCTTCCTTATTATCATTATGGTATACTATACCCCAGATCCTTATTCTGATTATTAAGGCCCCTACATGTAGGGGCCTGATAATCAGAATATTGTTTTGGGGATATTATACTATACTTATACTAAGGAAACCCCCAAAACCCTATTCTAAGTATTAAGGCCCCTACATTGCCCTACTGTCTTCCCTGTCTGCCTTGGATGTCCCGTCCGCCCTCCCCTGTCTGACTGTCTGCCGTGCGCCCTGCCGCTAGCCTGCGTAGTATAGGAGCCTTGATAATTAGAAATTAGAATAGGTCTGTCTGTGGGGTACATTATTCTATGATTATAAGAAGGAACCCCAGAATAGTGTTGGTAATTGTTTCGCCCCGAAATTAGCCGTAGCAACAGCCATCAGAGTGCGATGATGTCGCCCACGTCCCCATAGGCGGAACTCGAACTGCAGCGAGGCCACACTGCACAGAAGACGAACAGTCGGCTAACTTTTTATTTCTTTTGCTTTAGGGTTCAGGGTTAGTTTTTAGTTATTTTGGTTTAGGGTTTAGGGTTATTTTTTAGTTATTTTCGTTTAGGGTTTAGGGCTGCTTTCCTCCAATATATTGACAAGGCGAAAACCCCTTCGGCCGAAGACGTCGCTAAGTAGACCCAACGTACATCCTCGCATGCACTGCTCGAAGCACCCAGAGAAAATTTACCCTAAACCCCAAACCCTAAAATGAAACGCTTCAAGACCCTGGGAGTTGTAAGTTGAGTGGTCTGAAGGTGGGTACATGCGCACTGCCAAAGTGTATTCTTCCGTTTGGCACGCGCTAGACATCCCAAAAGCCGGCCTCCTGTCCCGCCGACTCGCAGGAAGGGGTTTGACACGCGTGGCGATGTGGTGGCCTGCGCCTCACAGCCTGCCTAGCCCAGAGACTCCAATATCCCTTGATTAAGGAATATACTTTAAATCATATTAAGGATCCTACTATAATTTCAGGTTTCTTCTTTAATTAAGGGATATTGGAGTCTCTGAGAGGGTCTAGGGTGTGGGGCCAGGGGTTTATAATTTGGGGGCTTGTCCCCATGTCTCGCTGCGCCTTGGGGGTTAGGGTCTGCGGCACCCTAAACCCTAAACTAAACCCTAAACCCCAAACCCTAAACCGAGAGTCTGTGGTGTGTGGGTGATTTGTTTAGGCTGGAGGGGTTACGAGCACGTCGGGAGTCTTCGGCTTTGTCCCTGGGGGCCAGTTTGGGTGTGGCGGGCGCAAGCAAATTCCAGGGATACACATGGGTAGCCGGGTAGCCCTCTAAATTAGGGTTCTGTTTTTGGGTCCCAATATAACACGGCACCCTTATTTAGAAGGACCCAAAAAGGGACCCAATTTAGACAACCACCCACATTGTTGCAGAGAACGATTTTCCTTTTTGTTCCTGTAACACTTCACTAGAGTATACCTCCCCAAAGCCCCTGAAGTTATCAAGGCCCCTATCATATCTTCCATGTCTCCACCTTCATCGGAACCTGCAGTAGAAAACTCAGCTTGCTGACACTCCGTGCCGGGTCGACATGAGGTCGTCTCTGTCAGGGCCTTCAGGGTCCTTCGTTTAGGGTTTAGGGTTTAGGCTAGGGTGCCCATATCCCCAAACTTCAGCCCTAAACAAATACATCTTGAACCGCTGGTCGATAGGTACCCATGGTGAGAGCTCTAGTCAAGCTCT